TGAAGGAAGCTGTCCATGATCTAAGGAAAAAAGCTTCAGTAAGGACTTTAAAAACCTGGACTTCAGAGCCTCCTCTGCCACCAGGTTTAACAAGGGGCACATCAGCCCAGGGGGCACATTCATACCCCTCTGGGTACAGGTCTGAGGTCTCACACCGTGTTCCTGAATGTTACTTTTAAGAAATGAGCTGAAAACAATACATCTACAACACATAAGTTCCTCCCCAGCTCTATGAAGTTGTAGCACAGTGAACCATTTGTATCAGATTATGGTTTAAGAACCAAAATACTATAGAATAAATGACTCTTGGTCTATTTTATTGTGAGGATTAGATACATCTAAAGTACTAGAAATATTTATGTCACAATTAAATGTCACATATTAAATAACACTCAGCCTCCAAAGATAAATGTTATAAATCCTCACCCCTTCACTCCTCCAGATCTCTAATCCTGTCTTCACTCCTTTTCCAAATCCTCCACTGTAATTTCCTTTCCTTCATTCCTCCTGATCCCCTGCCTGACTCCTTCACACGCTTTCAAGCTAGGGCAAGATGAAGTCACATGCCAAAATAAATTTCAAATTAGAATTTAAATAAGAATCCCTTCTTAAAGGAAGCCATAAAAATGCTAGGGAAAAAAAACAGGGAGCAAAGAAATCCCTTCTGGTGTAATGAAAAATCTAAAAGCCATAAAATAGATGATAAATTCAATTTCATAAAAATAAGCTTCATATAGAGCAAAATTTTACATGATAAAGTAAAAAAGGAAGGCAAAAAGCCATCAAAAACAAATCACAAGACCAACAAAATACATGGGAAAAATTGTGATTTTTGTCCCAAAAAAGCATTGGTTATGAACACATAGAGTACACACACACCCATAAAAATGAGACATATACAAAAATATACATGCATGTATACATGTGTGCATACTCAAAGAGCCTAAAATAATCACTTTTAAAAACCCTATAGAAAAACAAGCAAAGGACATAATTGTGTAGTCCATAGAAAAGGAAATACAAAATCCTATTAAACATACAGTAGGATGTTTAACCTCATTCACAATAAGGGAAATGCATATTAAAGCACTGAGAACCCCTTTTCATTAACCTATCAATTGACACAAACCCAACAGTTGGAAAACAGGTATCATCCACATTGCTAATGCAAGTAGGAATTAGTTCAGCTCCTGAGGAGTATAATTTGGCAGTACAAGTCTGTATCAAAATTACAAATGTATATGTCCTTTGACTCCATAAGTCTACTTCTGGGAATTTGTCCCACAGATACACTTGCAAACAACCAAAATGACAGTTTAAGATCATTCAGTGCAGCTCTGTTACAGTGAAAGGAAGAAAACAAGTATAGTACCCATCAATGTGGGTTAAATAAACAAATTATGATGTGTGCACACAATGGAACACTATGTACCTATGAAAAATAATGAGAAACTGCTCTCTGTACTAAAAACGGAAAGGTATTTTCATGATGTGAAAAAGTTAGGAATAACATAATATTCTTTAAATGCCACTATTTATATAAACAGAAAAAGAAAATATAGATGTCTGCTAAACATAAAATAGGATGTTATTATTCTGTTTCTACATACAATAACACATAATTTTGCTTGATTACATTACATATTTAATTTCACTTACATACTTACATATTTATTGCTTTAATGTATTTAAATATTTATTTTATATTTATATATCTACTTTGACTTTTAATTATATATTTAATTTCCCTTGTACATATAACATCTTAGAAAGTGAAAAAATATAAAAGAAATCAGTAATGGTTACCTCTGGGGTTTCTGTGAAAATTGCAAAGACAAAGAATAGAATGAGAAAAAATATTTAATAATCTTTCATGTGTCTTAATTTTCAAATCATATGAGAATACCCCAGATGTGAAAATTGAAACTAATTTTAAAAATAATAAACCTCCACTCACAACGAGTTATATTTTAAAAGTCAAAAATCTAGTTGGATAAAACCCATGTGCCCTAGAGAAGTTCTTAACTAGGAGGGAACTCACATCTGCCAAGTAAGATCATAGCAGAGTTAAGGAAACGTGGCCTCAGACGGTCATCAAATTACATACAATGGCAAAACTCAGCGCACTTTTGACTACAGGACGACCCTGCCCCTCTAAAACCTCCACCGCCAACCCTGTCCGTCGGCTTCCTTTTTTTGGCCAACCCTTCTCCTTCTGGAGGACACGGTAGTATGCATCCCAGCTCCTCTCTTTAGTGACGTTTTGCTCACCTCCCTCCTCGCAGCCCCAGCTCTCCGTTCTACCTCGTGCACTACCCTCTCTCCCTTGTACCTCTGATGCCCCACAAGTCCCATTAACCCCACTCAGTCTTCCTCGTCTCAGAGCTTGCTGGGTTTCCAGCAGGCGGTGCTACCTTGAGATGATCAGTGAACAAAAGAAAAAAGATCAAATGGAAACAGGGTCTAGTTTCACCAAGAAAACAGAAGATGAGACCACTATCATTTCTCTTTTGCTACTATTCAGTTTTGCAAAAGAGGCCCTGGAGACAGGATTTTCAGGGTTACGCCAGAAACAACCATCACGACATCTTGCTTCTTCAGGGGTTCTTGGCTCTGTCCATTGCCCTGATGAAAGAAGCCTGGAGGGACACCCCAAAAACCACCATTCATGCTCCTGACTTTACCATCCAAGGGTCAGCAACCTCTCACGTTAGAGTGGAGCCACCCACCTTCCAGCCTGTCACAACATCTCAGGGTCCCAATTTTGCCATTCAGAGTCACCAATGCTAGATTCCTCTATGACTCAAGAAATCCAGGGCAACCTACACAGAACCACAGAGGACTTTGACAGCCATTACAGACCCTAAGAAATAATTCTTAATCTGTTCATTTTATATTTTTTAAAAATAGGTATTTGAAATATGGCTTTAAAGGATTATCAAAGTGCTGCTAAATGTATGCATTTAAAGATTTCATTTAAATAATGCATTTTTGGGTATATTATTTGTCTTAAGGAAACTCTAAAATACTCTGTGGGGGCCATAACACACACACACATGCACACACACACACACACACAATCCATAAGCCTGAATGCTTTAATACAATGTGAAAGACTTTGCAAATCACTTTCAAAATCTATTATGAATATAGATTTCCATTTAGCCTATATATGTATATACTACCCCAAGTTCCACTGATGCAATCTAAATGAATATTATAGGTGAAAAATAAATATTGCATTACCTCACAATATACACAAAAATTAACTCAAAATAGACTTGAACATAAGACCTGAACTATAAACCTTCCAGAAAAAAATATAAAAGAAGAACTTCTTAATATTGTTCTTGGCAATAATTTTATGCATGTGACAACAAAAGTACAGGCAACAAAAATAAAAATTAACAAGTAGAACAACATCAAACTGACAAGCTCCTGCACAAGAAAAAAGAACTGAAAAGATAACCTATAAAATGGGGAAAAAAATCACAAATCATATATCTGATAAGGGGCTAACCTCCAAAATATGTACAAAAAAAAACTCACACAATTCAATAGAGCAAAAAATACTCTAATAATCTAGGTATCAAATAGACTAACAATTTAAATTTTTCCCCAAGAAGATATACAAATGACCAATAAGAAATGTTCAGCATATCTAATCATCAATGAAATGCAAATCAAAACCTTCAGGTATTTACCTCACATCTATCAGGAAGACTATCACTAAAAAAAAAGAAAAAGAAAAAGGTGAGTATTGGTGAGAATGTAGAGAAACTACAAATGAGATACTGTTCTGGCTTCTATCTTGATGTGCCCCCAAAGCTTCATCTGTTCCTTGATAGGGCTTTTAGGAGTGACTGGATCACAAATGTGTGACACTGGATCATGAGTGTGTAACACTGAATTCATCCACTGATTAGTTTACTATGGTTCTACATGTGAATGATGGAATTACCAAACAGGGAAGACCCACTCTGGGTGTGGATGGCACCAACCAATAGGCTTGCACCCTGGGTGGAATAAAAAGGGAAAGGAAAAGGAAGTCAAGCAGCTTCCTGTCTTCCCTGCCATGAACCATTTCTCCTCTGCCATGCTGCCCTGCCTGTAGCCTTCCAACTATGGAATGTGACCTCTACAAACTGTGACCCAAAATAAACCTTTCCTCCTTTATGCATAGGTATTAGGTATTTTGTCCCCTAAAAAAAAGTTAGTGGAAATACAATATTGTGTGGGTACTACAAAAAAAATAATATAGAAGTTCCTTAAAATATTAAAACCAGAATTACCATGTGATCCTGCAACTCAACTTCTGGGTACTTACCTAAAAGAACTAAAATCAGCATTCTGAAGGGGTAATATGTTTATAGCAATACTATCAACAATAGCAAAGATGTGGAAACAAGTGTCCAGCAACAGATAAACAGATGAAGAAAATGTGAGAATACATACAAGATGGAATACTACTACCAGATCTTTTTAAAAGGGGAGGAAATTCTGTGCTATGTGACATCAATGAACCCTGAAGTACACTAAGTGAAATAAGCCAACCACAGAAAGACAAAAACTGCAATATTCCACTTATGTGATGTATCTGAAACAGTGAAGATCATAGATACAATCAAACAGTGGAATGGAGGTTGCCAGGATCTAGGTGAGAGGGAAAAAAGGGAAATTACTAACCAAGAGAGATAAAGTTTCATTTTAAGCAAGATAAATACTCTTTAGAGATCTGATGTACCACAGTGTACCAGTCAACAATGATAAGGTATTTACACCTAAAAATTCATTAAGAGAATAGAGCTCCTGTTAAATGCATTTACCATAATAAAATAAAATTTTATAAATAATAACTACTGGGAAGCATGTGGTTCAACTAGAATTTTCACATTCTTGCTGGAAAGTATAAATTGCACAGCCACTCTAGAAAATGTGTGGTCGATGTCTACTAGCAGTGAACACACACATATTCTGTGAGCCACTGGCTCCCTTCCTACCTGGTGCCCAGCAGAGGGATATCTGTGTCCACCAAAAGATAGGCAAGAGCATCCATATGAATAGCAGCTAAAAACCAGAAATAACATCCGTCAATAGTCAAACAGCTTTATAAAAGTTGGTGTGTTTATACGGTGCGATGACACATAGTGATGGGAACACATGATCCATCGATACCCCAACATGCATGCGGCTGACAGACACAGTATGGAGCAGATGAAGAAAGTACCTGGTAAGCAATACACCATTCAATTTAATTTACATAAAGTTTCAAAAGTGGCCAAATTAATCCCTGCTGCTAAGCTAGTGGTCAGCTACCACCGGTGGGAAGAAGGGGGACAAGTGGTAACTGGGAGAAGCACATGGGGTACTTGTGGCTCTGACTTTCAGCAACAGCCGACACCCTGGTCTCATGCTGATTGCATTGATAGGCTCATTTTGTGATCATTAATCAAGCTGAACACTTATGATGGTACAATTTTTATATATATTCTATATCCACAAAAATGTTTATTTTAAAATATTTAAAAGGAGAGATGCCTGCAATTAGCCTTCAAAGCATCAAGTACCTGAACTGCTGCCCCAAAGTTAGAGGAACCCTTAATTCCTATCATTAGCTCCTGACATGTCCAAATGATTCTTTGCCCACTTGTTAATAATGGAATCAAAAGGCACTAATCTCATTACCGCCTGTCAGCAGGGACTGTCAGAACGCTGCTGGCCATTAGTCACCTGCTGCTGCAATCAGTCAGCGACTTGTAAAGCACCCAGAAAGGAGACATGAAATACTGGCAGTTTAGTTTTCTCTTGTCCCACTTACCTTTCACCCACCTCATGAGGACACCACAAGCCTCCTTCTCCAGGAAGCCATCCTGGATGTCTCCAACCCCATTAAAATCCCATTTTCACTCATTCATCCATGCCTAGACATATTCATGGAAACATTTAGTGATTACTCCATGCTCCAGGCTGTGTGCTCAAGATACACAACTGTGTAAAGTATAAATCTTTCCCTGGAAGTGCTCACAATATTGTCAGAAGTAGGCACGGCAACAGGATTAGAATGATAGACACATAAAAGAAGCAGGAATCTAGGAAAGCAATATAGAAGCCAGTTTCTTTTGAGAGGGTTGAGGGGGGTGAAATGTAGAATGTTCCACAAAGACCCATACACTAAGGCTTGGTCCTCAAGGTGACTCTATTAGGAAGCAGTGGGTCCTTTAAGAGGTGGAGCCTAGTGGACGGAAGTTGGGTCACTGAGCATGCGCCCAGGAAGGGGATGATGGGAGCCTGGTCTTCCTGTTTGCTCCCTGGCTTGTGATGTGAGCAGTTTTGCTCCACTGCACTCACCCATCATGGTGTGCTGCCTCCCCAAAAGCCCAACTTAAGGGGATGAACTGATCCAGAATCTCCAAAACCGTGAGCGAAAATAAACATTTTTCCCTTTATAAATTATCACAGGTATTTTATTATGGTGACAGAAGGCTACAGATAAAATTTGCCAGAAAAGATGGGAAGTTGGCCAGTCAAGCAAAGACAAAGGCCACTTCCAGTAGACAGAACCTCACATGAGAATGCATGAAAGCAGTGTAAGGCTTGGCATGGGACATGGGTGGCAGCTCAGGGCTCCAGGAAGCTCCAGATGAGGACAGAAAAGAACAGGCAGAGAACGGATCACAAAGAGTTCATGTGTTAGGGTGCACTGAGGAATCCGCTCTGCCTTAGCCAGGGTTTCCCCACCCCTGGGGACATCCAGGTTCAGGCATTGCACTGGATGTGCGACTTTACCAAAGAAAGGAAGGACAGTCCCTGTGGCTGCTGAGCTGAACAGCTGGGTCAGATCTGCCACTCGGGAAATGGAGTTGGGCAGGGAAAAGGCAGGGAGGTGTCAGCTATAGACCTGCTGAGACCGAAAGACAGACTGTACTAGAGGGCCTCAAGTGGGCTTGAGAAGAGAAAAATTCAAAAATTCATTGGATGTAAAGTCAGAAAAACTTGGCGACTGATTCTGTGTGGTGTGAGAGTAGGAACGGAGAAAAGGGAATAACAGGAGAAAAGAAGGCTGGCAATAGACAGGAAATATGGCGGTGAGATAATCATTGGATATATTAAATGTGAAAAGCCTGTGGGACCTCAGGAATGTGTCTCCAGGAGAGTGCAATACCTGAATCTAGATGTCTAGGGAAGGGGAAAAAAACCTTGGCTAATGCAGAGCCGATTCCTCAGGACACCTAACAAATGAAATCCCACAATGGACAAGATCACAAGGTGCAAATGAGGGACAAATAGCAAACCAGGACAGGCAGGAGAGGACCAGGACAGTGCTCTGTAAAGCAGGAAAGTGGGTACTGAGACAATAGAGAGGTTTAAAACATGAGTGGCTGCTCTGTAGCCCTAAATGTACTAGCTAGAGGTTCCAGAAGGTAAGAACTAAAATAATTCCACTGGGCTTTGCATGAGGATACCTTCAGTGACAGATTTCAGACTTGAATTCAATTCCAGCCACACAGCAGACTACACTGACATAAACCTATGCACAACACTCAGAGAAATCCAGATGAAGCAGTCCTTTCCTAAAATTTTAATATGCAGCAGAGCTTCAAAAAAAGAGAGAGATTTCCAAGTAAGATTTTAAAAGATTAAAGTCAATGGCTGTATCATAAGAGCCCGTGGCAGTATTAGACCTGCTGTTCACCCTAGGATCTGGGTGCTTAATGTTTTCAGAGTGATGGGACGGGTTTCTCTGGGTCAACACAAAACGGGGAACAGTGGGAGTGAGTCCTACATAAATCTGGGTGTCTCTCCTGCCTCGTACACTAAAGAAAAGCTTTATGAGACTGGAAAAACAATAAGGATGCGTAGTGCTTCTGAGCGCTATCAGCTGAAAAAAGGCATCTTGCAAGGAACAAAAATTTCAAGCTACCCTATTCATGAGTATATAGAAATGGTACTTGAAATTCAAGCTGAGAAATAACATAAAACTGGTATTAGACTCATGATGCTCGTTCTTCAAAAATGGTGATCCCACAATCCAGGCCCCAGGAGACAACTCGAGGTGAACATGAGTTCATAGCTTAAAAATTATAAACCACACAAAAAACCAAACCATTATGAAGGAAATTCAACTAATCACAAACATAGGAATTGAAAAATATTTAAAACCTGAAATAAGAGTTTAAAAAGATAGAAGAATCACCATGACATAAGAAGATACAGTGGGGCGGGGCTGCCAAAAAGTCAAAAAACAAAAAACAAAACCCCATGGGTCTTCTACATTAACATTTGATGGCTGGACTAAATAGAATAATAGATACATCTGAAAACAGAATTTGTGAACCATAGGATCAATCTGAGAAAATTACCCAGAAATGGACTTGAAAAGATAAAAAGATTGGATGTATGAAACACAAGAGATGTGGAAAGGACAGAACAATACTCATGATCAAATCTAATAGGAATTTTACAAAAAAAGAAAAGAGAAAAGGGAAGATATAATAATCAAATACAAAAAGAATAGTTAAGCATTTTCCCAAACTAGGAAACAAATAAATATGAATTTCAAATTGAATAAGATCATTGAATTCCAAGGATTTTGTTTGTTTGTTTTGAGACAGGGTTTCACTGTATAATTCAGACTGCCTCCTCCTGTCTCAGCCTCCCAAGTGCTGGGATTACAGACATGCACTACCATACCCAACTTCAAGGATTTTAAATAAAACAGATCCACACATTGATACATTATATGGTAACCCAAAAAAAGCTAAAAGTAGAGAAAAATCTTTAGCTCAAACAAATCCTTTCATTCAAACGAAAGAAAGACTGACAGCAATCTTTGTCCGGTATCAGTAAACTCCAGAACACAGTGAAATCTGCATTAACTCACTTTGGGCTGCCATAACAGAAGTCCATGGACAGAGAGCTTTAAACAATGGACATTGTGTTTTCTCTCAGTTCTAGCAACTGAGAACACCATCAGAAGGAAACAATGAATAGAAGAAGCAGTAAATCAGCTACATTGGTGAAATACTCATTACATCAAGCATCTATTGAGAATGTGCCTCTGTGTGGTTGATGCTGATCAATTATCTGGAGACTCCAGAAAGAGGGAAAAAATGCCTGGTCTTTGTGCTTTGTTACATATAATCTATAAAGAGTGAAGAAAAATAAAACAAGAAAAGAGAACAGGGGTAATGACAGAGGTTATTTCCATGTTGTATAGTCTGAATAAGCATCAAATATTATAAATAATAACAGTGATGAGCTTTAAAGGTTCCATGTCTGAGGATGAAGGCAATTGGATCATTTGAATCATATAGGATCAAGAGGCTCAGAAACCATTACAGAGGAACCAGGGCATGTTTCCAAGATCTTTCTGTGTTTCCATATTCCACCCTCCCCGTGTCACCTTTTAAAGTTCACAATGGAAAGTTCACTGGAATTCCAAAAGCTCCTCGCAGACTCAGCAGAATCTAGAGGTAAAAATGGAATCATATCTTCCATACACCTCTTCTTAAAAACAAAGGAGCCTTTCCCTGAAGCCTCTTAACATCCTCCTCTGCCCACTGGGCCAGTGTCGTGCGTCCGTGTCTAAACCAGTCACAGGCAAGGAGAATAGGATCCCAATACTGATTTTACAATGATTCATATTTAATATCTAGAGCTGGGTGATGTGGAGGAAGGGCGGCACCTTGTCAAAAGTCACAGCTTTCCCAACAAGGAAAAAGAAATACCGACTAGGAAGACCACAAAACAGTGTTTTCTCCCCCTTGTCATCTGTCTCAAAACTCATGACACAATGCTGACTACATGGCACCGTGATCACATCTGCACACAACCCCAGAGAATATAACACTGGAAATTTTTAAAAGGAAGCATGTTAATCTGATACTCTCTATAAGTTCGACTCCTTTAATAAAACCCAAGCATGTTAGCTCATTATATCTCTGTTTCACTACTTCAATAACCAAACTATAAAGGAAAACAGACCACCCAACTCTCCAAGCTAATCCGAACACTTACCATGCAATTACCCAAACCATGGTCAGTTTGTATAGATATTTAAACTTTCCCAGACACCTCTATAAAATGTATCTCTGTCTCTGTCTGTCTCCCTCTCTCTTGCTGTCTCTCTGTGTCTCTGTCTCCCTCTCTCTTGCTGTCTCTGTCTCTGTCTCTCTCTCTCCCTGTCTGCCTATGTCTCTCTGTGTCTGTTTCTGTCTCTATTTGTCTCTCTCTCTCTCTTTCTCTCTCTCTCTCTCTCTCCACTGTATAGCTACTTTCAGATTAGCTGAAATGTCAAAGAAAAGTGCTTCTTATAACTACCATTTCCAAATTATTCCAACATTATCAGATGAGAGGGAAGCTGTGGAAATAGCTTCCTAAAGTGAATTAAATGCTTTCATTTATGATCATGGAATTTTAGAGCCAAAAGGGACTTCTCAGAGAATATTAAATATGACTCTGTTTTACAGATGAGGGACAATGGCACCAGGCATGGCAATTTGACAAAAGAAACTCTTTAAACATCACCATTATCACACCATCCTGGGAACAAGAGAACAGAGATGAATTCAGCAGTCCTCAACCTACGTGATAAGTCAGAGGCCCACAGTTTACGTCCACTTTCGGGCTGTCCTGAGCCCTCTGAAACTCATCTGTGGTCTGCACAATTTAAAATCTCACTCTTAGATATAGCTCACATAGTTCAGATATTTTACACTGAAGTCATGATTTTTCATATCATTACTTAGTGTAGGAAATAATTATGCTAGTTTCTCTGTTTCCTGCCCAACTCCAATGATTATCTAATTAATATAAATTCAAGAAAGTCTATCCCTTTTTAAAGCAACCCAAGAAAAAAGCAAATATACTAACCTCATAATACAATGCGGGGATGGCGAACCTTTTAGAGACAAGTGCCCGAAGTGTACCCCCAAAACCCACTTATTTATCGCAAAGACCCAATGCTGCAGTTAAACCTGAATACTGAGGGTTTAGTTTGGAAAAAACAATGTAGTCATTAACACATTTTGTCTGAAAAGAAAAACAACACACATACCATGGGTTTACCACCACTGACATAAATTTAAAAAGCCTGTGCCTTTCACCTGTCCGCCACTGCCTCCCCAGATCCAGCAGATCTCCTCATAGGAGGGAAACCATCGATTAAAGATATTAATAGAAATATCATATATATGTATCAGCAGAGTGACAGCAATTTATCGAGGTTCTTTCAAAACTATTATTTCAAGCTCACAATCCCATACAATCTAGGAAGGACTGGTTTGACTCTTCTTCCCATTTTGTAGGTGAGGAAACGCAACTCAGTAACTTGCTTGAGTGTCATGTATCTAATTATGAGCAAAACTGAGAGCCTAATCCCTGGGTCTCCTCACTGATTTCCAACCAATAGACCTGTGGTCCCCAGAAGTACTTTTTAAACTGAACATAGCCACACTAAAAGAAGCTCTCATTGATACACTGGGTAGCTTCCAAAATAAAACAGAACTCCCTTGTGGATTCTCTCTGCTCACTGTGAAG